AATAGGCATAATAATAAATAAAAAAAACGAATAAAAAAGAATATTACAAATACATACACCTCTCCGACCCTTTACTTGAAATAATTATTTAACCACATACATTGAAGTCACTTGCTAATGTCCTGACCCTAAATGCCATTAACCAATAGGTCTCTTTCGAGTGAAACTGAACACTGCGTCATAACGTTAACGCTTTGGGAACACTCCTGTGTGAGCCGAAGTCTGAAGAACGTGTGGAAACATGCCGATTGTATTGGCCAACAGCGTAGTCAGATGATGTAGTGCCACAGCGCCACCGAGACCACAAATATGTGCCTAAAATGCACATCACCAGCTTCTTTGTTACACAACAACATAATGGCATCCAAGAATTACAAACAGTGTATTCCACCATGCCCTCACTACCTAACAAGGGATGACAAATATGATATGTGATCTGCTTGGGAGCAGAGAATGCTAAGTCAGCTCTCAAGGGGGCAATTGCCCTCTTTGGGAATGTCACTCAATGAGGAAGCTCCACTCATGCCTGGCTCTCCCCTTGTGGTTCGGGTCCCATGCCAGCTGAGGTGGCACAGTTGCTCAAATCATGTGTGTTGCAGATGGAGCTGGTTGATGAGCTTGAAATGGGCACTGCCCTTTTTCTTGCTCCTTCATCATCCTCTAAGAGCCTTTTTCTGGATTCAGAAGTTGCCTAGCGATTTCTTCTGATCCAGACAAGGACCTACTGTCAGCCGCCTCTGGCTCTGAGGTGTTGGGTGGCCAAGGTACGCCTCGTCAGCCATCGCAGTCTTGTGCTTTCAAGGAACTGCTCGAGGTGGTTACCTGTGTGGTGGATAAGCTCAGGCTTAAATGGTCAGATGAGAAAAAAGAAGTAAAAAAGAGTAAATTTGAGACATCTGCTATTCTACTCAGACCTTCACACTGGGGTGTCGAGGTCCTGGAGCAGCCCGTACTTGGCACCCATTCATAAACGTGCAACATCAAATTATTTGGCTATCATAGGGGTTAAGGAGTATGGGTATGCGTTGATGCCACGGGTGAAGATGTGGGCCTAGCCATCTCTCCCCTGCTTCAGCATCATCGCAGAAGAGGCCCACTTTACCCTCTACCCTTTATTACATCTGGCCTCATGAGTAAGGCTTATGAGGCAGCAGGTCAAGCTGGTGCGTCACTGCATATGATGGCTAACTTGCAGGCGTACCAGTCTGACCTGTTAAAAGTCCTGGACTCTCGTGAAGGAGTGAGGGAACACCATCGTGCCACAGATCTTGCTCTCCATGCCACAAAGCAGATGGCTTGCTCCATCGCCCATTTGATGGCTGTGTTGGTTGACATGGAGAGACATTTGTGGCTCATTCTCTCTGGTCTCTAGGAAAAAAAACAAAGGCTTTCTGCTGGATGCCCCGGTTTCACCGCTTTGGCCTATTCTACGACGCAGTCAATGGTGTTGTAAATAGGTTTCAGATGATTAAGAAGCAATCAGCAGCATTCTGGGAGGGGCAAAGAGCCAGTGTGTAAACAGCCAGATTTTAGACCTGCGGGCTCAGAACCATACTCTGCAGACTTACAGGTTCATGATGCTCATGCTCAAGGATATCATGTTTCAAATTCAATCCGGGGATTGGTTTGTCATGATAGGATGCTGGATACATACTTTCATATCAAACTTCTGCAACACCACAGGAAGTGTTCTCAGAAAGAATCTCAGGTTCGCTTTCAGGGGTGAAGCTTACCACTCTTAGGTGCTTCCATTTGGCCTAGCCTTGTCACCCTGCACTTTCACAAAGTCCATGGATCCTGCGCTGGCTCCATTAAGAATCCAGGGTACTCAGTTATGAATGAATGAATGAATGAGGCATTTACATAGCGCTTTCATATGTACTACTGTACACCCAAAGCGCTTTACAATCATATCAGGGGTTCTCTCCTCAACCAGCACCAGTGTGCAGCATCCACTTGGATGATGCGACGGCATCCACAGTACAACGGCGCCAGTGCGCTCACCACACACCAGCTATAGTTGGAGAGGAGAGAGAGAGTGATAGAGCCAATTCAGTGGATGGGGATTATTAGGAGGCCATGATTGGCAGGGGCCAATGGGTGGAATGTGGCCAGGACACCGGGGTTACACCCCTACTCTTTTACGAGAAGAGAACAATCTTCTCTTATATGGACGACTGGCTCATATTGGCCTAGTAGAAAGAGTTAGCAGTTCGGCATCAAGATATCGTTCTCACTCATTTGAAGAATTTGGGGTTCGAGACTGAACAGCAAGAAAATTGTTTATTTGGGTGGTGTTGGACTTAATTTTCATGCAGGCACTGTCTCCTGCTCGAACAGAGTCCATTCTAGCCGCGATGAAAGAAATCAAGCCAAGTCAAGAGATTTCTGGCCAAAAATACCAAAGACTGCCAACATGATACCTTTGTGCATTGTGCAACCCCCTGAAGAAGAGAAAGGTAACACGCAGAGGGATTTGTTCCCTTTCTGTGTGGAGGAGACCCCAGTTCCTCACATGTGAACACGTTGTCATTGCAAGATGGTAACTATGGGTGCACCCCTCACAGGTGCCATTCAGGATTAGCCCGAGGGGACTGGGAAGACTAACATCTTCTTCAGCACAAAAATTGCCTAGAAATTAAGGTTGTATATCTGTCTCTCGGGTACTTCCTCCCAGACCTGAGGTGTTACCATGTGTTGGTACATCAGTAGTCTCTTGCATAAATCACTTGGGCAGACTGCATTCACTCCCCCTTTTTTTAGGTTGGTGCAGCAGATCCTAGGCTCAAAGCAGAGAGCTCTCCCTGAGGGCACTCTACATTCCATGGCATTCGGATGTGGGTGCAGACATCCTGTCGAGGCAGGGGCTGAGGCTCGGGGAATGGAGACTTCACCCCAAGGTGGTGGAATTAATTTGGCAGAGGCTCGACAAAGTGGAATTCGGCCTGTTTGTCTCTGAGGAGAGGACCTACTGTCCCCTCTGGTTCGCCCTCACACCACCAGCTCCATTAGGACTGTATGCCATGGTGCAGATATTGCCGAGGATATGTTTGTATGTTTTTCCCCCGATTGCTCTGCTCCAGAGAGTTCTAGCCAGAGGTCAGCGGGACGGAGTTCCCCCTATTGCTAGATACTCCATTCTTGCCGGCCTGAGTGTGGTTCTTTGGACCTGATATCTCTCCTTTGTGCATTGGTTCTTGGACCTGATATCTCTCCTTGGGTGCTCTACCAGGGACCTTCTTTCCCAGGCCTAAAGCACGATATTTCACCCCAGGCCCGAGATGTGGAAGCTGTTGGTCTGGCCCACAGTTGGTACCAGCTCATAGATTCTGGTCTCTCAAGTTGGTTGTAGAGACTATTCTTAATGCTAGAGCTCCATCCACAAGTAAACTTTATGCTCTGAAGTGGCATCTCTTTGAGTCATGGTGTGTGCAGCACCATCCTGACCCAGTCCACTGCCTGTTTGGTTCAGTGCTGGAGTTCTTGCAGGAGCACCTAAATCATCCTATGCTTAATGTGTATGTGGCCACTACTTCTGCCTGCAACGACCACATCGATGGAGCCTCTGGGGGAGGTATCCCCTAATATCTAGCGTCTATTTATGGTATCTGTGATGTGCTGACACTATGTCACCTGACCATGCTGTTGGCCAATAGAATTGACGTGTTTCCACATGTGCTTCAGACATAGGGTCAAGCTGGAGCGATCCCATAGCGCCAACATCATGATACAGTGTCTCGTTCCCCTCAAAGGGAACCGGGTTACATTATGTTACCTGAGAAGTTTTTTTCTGATCTCACATGCTATTTGGACTCCAAGAGCTAAATTCACATGGACATCAACTCCAGTTTGGCTTAGTGCAGTGCGGAGATTAGTGCAGTGCGGAGATTTTTTCTTTGAAATCCTGTGAAATTCTGAATTTATAAATTGTAAGTGTTGTAGAAACTATTTTTTATTTATCATAATTAAGTTTTAATTGTGAATGCTGACTGTAAAATTGAGTTTTTGCTTATTTCAGTACGATCGATGGAGCCATATCTCTTCCCGGAAAATACTAACTAATCTAACTAACTAATTTCGGAAGTTTATGAGGGGACAGGCTTTTGCAACAAAACTATTCCAATTACTGTGAGAATGGAAGTTATGATACAATATTTAGATAAAGCATTGTGTCTTTGTCAGTAAGAAAAACAGACAACAAAATTGCCCAATGCACCCACAATTTTCAGTGTTTTCTGTTTTTATTTCTGTTCTAATTGTTTTATTTGTTTGTTTGTTTTTTTCTTGTTAAATTTGTTGTTTATGTTCAGGCAGAATTTCACAGAACTAAAGTGATTTGCTAGATGCATGATAACAGGCATTCAAGATTTAACAGTTTCTTGATTTGCCAAAATGAAATATTATTAAAATGATGGAATCATTTACATATAAATCACATATTAATAGTGGCATTTGATCAACAATTAACATTTGCATATCTGTTACAGTAACTAAGTAACACATAATTGATGATAAATAAATGAAGCATTCACTTTATTAATTTTACTTTAAATTGGGATTACATATTTGGCACAATTGTGCCTGCACAACTTTCACAGGCTTATTTTGCTATTTATTGGTTTATGCTAATAGTGATTACAAAAAGCATTAAATGAGTCAATTAGTATAATTAGGTTTTTACTTAATATTTTACCAAATTCAATATTCTACTTTCCTGCTGTAGTTTAGAGGACAAACACTTAATAGCACATGCACAGAATTATTTGTGAATTCGCCTAATTGTGTTTGTTAGTTTGTTTGTTTGTTTGTTGTTTCTTTGTTTAATTAAGATGAAGACACATACATATCATTATTACAGAAAGCGCATGACACAATGCATGAGTCAGAAGCAGTGTTTATCTTTTATAGTGTTGAATTATTTGGCCAGTTGTTTTTTTATTTTTTTTTTATTTTTTAAATTTCCTTCTTACTAAGCTATCACCCTTTTTTTTTCATTTTAGGGGCCCGTAGCTTAGCTGGGGGGCGTAGAATGTACGGTAGGTCTGAAAGGGCTCTTTTGTAATATACTTGTTGTACTTCATTTCACATCATTGTTTTGTCTACTTTCACATTATCTAGCAAAATTTAGTATATGTATCAAAAACCTTGGTTGCACTTTATTTTAAGATGCCCTAGTTACAGTGTAATTATATAAATATGTACTGAGTAATTAACAATAACATGTACTTACTATATAATTAGGGTTAGTGGTTTGGTTTAGGGTTAGTTGCTTGTAATTGTGAATACTTTACTTTTATTACTTTAGTAAGTTTACACATAATATGTGCGACAGGGACACTGTAAAATAAAGTGTTTCATAGCACCCATTTGAGGAAAATATTTACATTTCCACATTTATTACATAAAGTAAAAATAAAATTACTTCAGTTTATTTTATTGTATTCTTATGATGGTTTCTGTCTGTGTTTAGACATTATTATTATTATTATAGATTTTTTGTTTTTGTTTCAGTGTATGATTTCTTATTTGAATTCACAGGGGATCGTGCATGATTACAGCATTAGTAATATAAATTAAACTGGATAACTTTTTAATAAGTTAGTGATATAACTTCAGTGGTCCTCAGTAAAACTTGACATTATTATTGAGCTCAGTGGTTCCCAAACAGAGGGTGAGAGAGGGAGTATGCAAACAAAATGCTGAGTTTTGCCGTTCATTTAATTCTACACCACCTTAATATAACATTAAAACGAAAGCTACAGCAGAACTGCAACACACAGCAGTGTTTCTTAAACAAACTGCGGCTTTGAACGAATAGGGAGAGTCAATGATTCAATGACCCATTCATGAATACAGCCACTTGCTTTGTTACTGAATAAATGCATAACTTGATGGCTCACTCATTAAGACAGTGACTTTATTTGAAAAGTATCACTTGAACTTTTTTTATTTTAAATATAATTTTCTAGAGGTATTTATAAAGGTAAAATAAAATCCACTAAAAACAAATTAGGGGATAAATATTGTCCCATAAGGTGTGATTGAAGTCTAAGAGAGGGGGTACACAGAAGGGTATTAAATACCTCAGGGGTTAGGCCACTCTAAAAAGTTTGGGAACCACTGGTTTAGCACATTTAGCCGATAATAAAAGTTTAAACCTTTTTAAAACGATATTTAAATGGAAAATTTTGTCAAATGTAATTCTAATAATTCAAGATTTACAATGTTTGCCACAAATAATAGCTATAGAATTCAAGTGAAATCAGTTTTCTAACCATCACTAATTACAGAAGAATAGGGTAGCTCTATCTGGGAATGTATTGGTATACATTTATAATGATGTAAATGGTATAATCTGAAAAAAGTGAGTTTTCTGGAGTTTTCATTAGGATGTCATGTGTGGAAGCATTTTAATCGATTGTAGTGATCGTAGTCATAATGTTATCCACTCTGCATTCATGGGGGCATTGCCACTGTATGTATGTATGTATGTTGAGAAAAAAAAAATTGGAGCCAACTCTAGCTTCCGATCGCCACTGAGAGATGAGGTGTGTGAACACATCCTCCACCACCACGGGAGAAAGCGGAAATGACACTGGTTCTGATGGACTAGACATGACAGAGAACTGCTCATCCCTCTCTCCATCCATGTAAATCTTCCAAGCCATCTTCATTCATTCACCATATGTCTAATCCACCACACAAGCATCACTGAAATACGTAAACAAGTCTATACTGGAGGCTAAAAATTATCCAAGATGGTGGACAAAGTGGGATTATAAATTCACTACCCACAAATTAAATCAAAATATTATATGTTTTTGAAAGAAGTCTCTTATGCTCACCAAAACTGCATTTATTTAATTAAATAAAGACAGAAATATCATGAAACATTATTTCGGTTTTAAAAAAACACTTTCTATTGTAATATATTTTATTTCGTTCAGAAATCATTATAATATGCTTATTTTCTTTTCAAGAAACATTTATTATAATTATTGAATACATTTGGGGGAAAATGTGGAAACCATTTGATTTGATTTAATTTTCAGCATTCCTTGATGAATAGAAAGAGCAAAAGAACTACATTTAATTAAAATAGAAATCTATTGTAACATTTTAAATGTCTTTACTGTGACTTCTGATCAATTTAATGTGTCAATTTAATGATACTGACATGTGAGCATTATTATATGAATGTGGTAGTATACTATGATATTAGTATACTAACCAGGGATGCTCCGATCAGGATTTTTATCTTATCTGCATCTGGGCCAAATTTTGTGTTGATATCTTAAAGCAATCAAAAGTTACGCGGTTCGAAACCGAGGCAGCCTTTTTATCAAAAGTCCAAAAACCTCTCCAAACAAATGATCTGAGTGTTAATGAACAGAAGAACTACTTAGATGTGTAAATGCCACAAAACATAAAAATAAGTAATGAGTGATGATCTTCCAGCGCTGTTTCAGCTGTGCGCTCCTATTCTACTGTAAATCAAGACCTGTCAATCAGGGGTGCGTTTCCCAAAAGCATTGTTAGCCAACTATGGTTACAAGTTCCGTCGTTATCAGCATAGTTCAGCGAGTCGGTGTTTCGCGAAAACATAGTTCGAAACAAACATTCGCAAACAGCATCGCAAAGTTGTGTGGTCTGAATGACAGCTGACCTGTGGTTAGAAGCAGAGTTTCTTGTTTGCATCTACAGTATATCTTTTATTTAGAATACATACAAATGTCATTTACGTCTTTTAGTTTGTCAAGAGATTTAAAGTGTCGTTTTTGAAGAGTGCGCATGTGCTGACGTGCTCTAGTACGCAAGAACGAGCCTATGATTGAATCTGGAAATAAAGTAAAATGACTGAGAAAAATGAGAAATGTTCCTAAGATGCCATGTCCGTAATTTATAGCAAAACATCTAGCATTGATTCGATCTCAAACAGATTCATTAAAAGAAGTTATTACTCCACCGCCTGCGTGACATCATTAACCAACGTTCAACGACCAATTTGCGACAATATGGTTTCGGGCAGCCCGTTCTCATCCCAAGGCGTCATCTAACTGACGCTTTTGACCATGCGTCAACATGCCGACGCACATGGTACCCCTTAAGCGTCAATATGAGACGCGCCCCCTAGTGGTCTAACCCTAACCCTACCCCAGACCTAAACCTACCCACAACGGAAGCGTCATCTAACTGACGCTAAAGGGTGCCATGTGCGTCGGATTTAGACGCATGGTCAAAAGCATCAGTTAGATGACGCCCGAGGATAAGCATCTCATGTTGACGCTTAAAGGGTACGATGTGCGTCGGCATGTTGACGCATGGTCAAAAGTGTCAGTTAGATGACGCCTTGGGATGAGAATGTGTTGTTTCGGGAGACAGTCGTGACTAGCTAGTTGATTTCTTCAACGATACATCGTAATACGGTAGTTAAGCAGTGAGTTACGTCGTTGTACAGGAAACGTACCACTGAGCGATCGATCCAATCCAAACACGTTCCATCTGTAAAACAGTGTCCGAATGGTCTCAACACATCGTCCCTACCCACTATACCCGAGATCCCGTTTCCATTGGTTGACCTTTCAAATGCCGTTGGAAAACACTGCACCATGATCGCGATGTGATCGAATCCCGGAATTCCTATAGCCAAGCATTATGTCATGTCACTCCGTGAGGATTTGCTCAAGATCTAAACATCATGTTATGTTGTGTGCGGGCTTGTTTGAATTGCTCTAAATAAAGATTTACTATGGTTTACTAATGTTTCATGAAGTTACAAAGCAGAACGTGCCGCAAAAGCCTCATCTGTATACTGTTTACATGCGCGTCGGCCGCAACTTTTTACAGTTTTACGTCATCAAATTGCTATCGGTTTTTGAGGTCGGCCAAATGATTGTGATTACTGATCGAGTCACATATAAATATTTAATTGATATAAAATAGTATGCCTGATATTTGTGTGGCATTAGCATCCTCGCTCCGTTCCCACGGCTCTCGGCCCCGCCCTGTTTGCCACAGTTGTCAATAGCTTTGAAATATGCTAGTGTCAAACTCTATTGAAATCGATTGATAGTCGAGTCTTTCGCGCACTTCGTTTGTGGAGCTCAGAGAGTCACTTATGAGGTTACGGGGATTTTACCATGGTTTAGAGTAGTTGTGGGTTGCCATGATGTTAGACTGTGAACCACGAAGTAACAACTGTCAGCTGTTTACATTTGTCAACATTTTGTCAAACAAGCTTTTTTCTTTTTGTCTTTTGCATCAGTTTTGGACATTGCTTAATCGATCAGATTTTAGAATAAGAACCTTTCTTTAGTACGGTAAACTAATATGTTTAGTATAGTATAATATCCTACTACTTACACGGTCTACAGTACGTATTCTGTGCACAGTAAACAAAGTTTCTTTATGCATGGAAAATACAAATATATAATTGCATTTTGCACACTGTCCAGTATATAGTTGCGTATAGCAGTCCATTTTGAGCATAGCCACATACTGTAACCAGGCTTGCAGAATTACAGTAGGTGCACTTGAAATTAAATTAAGTTAAATTTCATGTTTTGAAACATTAGTCTTCATGTAGGCCTATTTTTCTTGTGTCTCATATCATCCTTCATTCATGTCATCACACAGTTACTAAGCATATCACTTCAGCACTGTCAGAGCCCATGCACACATGATAAGGACGACCCAGATGAAACGTACAGGATCAAGCGACGCTCTTACTGGAATCTTCAGTGACTGAACTGGCACCACGGTGAATTTTAACCCCTTTTATGTGGAGGCACTGGCACTGGAACTGAAATCTGATACTGACCCAATACCTGTGAATAATTGTGTATTTTAATTGGATATACGTTAGAATGTTGTTTTTAATCTGTATAAATGCAGTCATATAATTTATATTATATATATATTTTTTTTTGCTACATTTTAATTTAATCTAAATTGACTTTAAAGTCAAAAATCTTACAAAAGTTTGTATTGTAAGAACATCATTTAGTTTGTTAGTTTTTTTAAGTTAACTTCTTTTTCCATAGTGTTTTGCAAATTCGTTCATGCATTTGATTAAATCGTTCATTTTGAATTTTTGTTTACCATACTGGTAACACTTTATAATAACTACACGCTAATAATCATTAGTTAAGCATGAGTAAACAGTTAATTCATCATTCATAAAGCATTAATAGACATTAATAAGCAGTTTATAAATACAGCTATAAATGCTTTCTTCTTGATTACCCAGCATATCTATAATTTATTTAATAATTGTATTTTCATCCTTTATTAATGATCAATTTATTATTTCTAAATGATTAATTGCATTTTTTATAAACCAGTTATTTAAGAGTTTTCAGTGGTTCACAAGATTACTTAGAACGTGTAAGTAAATGATTAATAAACTATTTAAATGTACATTCATACATCTTATTATTCAGCCATATAGTGATGGTTACTTAGTGTGTTAATAAATGCTTTATTAACATGTATTTAAGCTGTAATTCAGGGTTAATTCAGGTAGTTATAAAGCATTTAGTAGTGGTCAGTTAACTATGTTTGTGAGCTCATCTAAAGTGAGGACTATTCATGCCTTGTAAAGCATTTATAAAGGAGATTTAAAGGCTGTTAAATATTTCTATGTTCTGTATAACTGTGTTGTGTTTGTTACATTTTACCGTTTAGAAGATTGATGCGCCTTTAAATCTCCTTTATAAATGCTTTACAAGGCATGAATAGTCCTCACTTTAGATTAGCTCACAAAATAGTTAACTGACCACTACTAAATGCTTTATAACTACCTGTATTTACTACATTTACTTACACTTTCTAAGTGATCTTATGAATAACTGACAACTCTTAAATAACTGGTTTATAAATAATGCTATACTTCATTTAGAAATTATTAATTGATCATTAACAAAGTATGAAAATACAATTATTAAACGCATTATAGATATGCTTATAAATCAAGAAAAAAAGTGTTTATAGCTGTATTTATAAACTGCTTATTAATGTCTATTAATGCTTTATAAATGATGAATTAACTGTTTACTCATGCTTAACAAATGATTAATAGCATGCAGTTATTACAAAGTGTTACCAAAATACTTTTTTTATTTATTTTTCATTTTTGTCTCTTTTTTGCATTTTTGCCTCCGTTACCTTTGGTTTATTGTTTTTCAGAAATTGTTTAGTTTTAAAGTATTATTTAAAATCTAAAATGTATATTAAAATAAAATTGTCTATTAAAAGTGTATATACTGTAATAATGGTTTGGTTCTGAATGGTTTTCTTGCCGAGTGAAAACCAAGTGCCACACACACTTCAGCGTTTTCCTTTTAGACAAACTACAAATGATGGATGAAATATGATGCTATTTATATCGACTGGATCTGAGCATCTTTTTAATTGGCATAGGAGACAATACCATTGTGAAAAATAATTGTGCTTAATTATATTGATTATGCCCTTGTAGTGTACTTTCTTTTATTTTACTTTTAAATATTTTAAGTTATTTAATGTTTTAACATAATCTAATAAAAAATAAAATATTTATTTATTTAAGTATTTGTATTTACCATAAATGTTAGTACATTCAGCAGTACAATAACCATATTTCAAAGACAGAATTATGTTTAAATTTATTATCAAAATTATTTTGTGTAATTGGCATTTAATATAATTTTAAATTACAAAATAATACATTTTCATTTATTTGAAATTTACATGCAAGTGTCTGAAAACATTAGTTTGCACTATTCCGTCATATGGCACTGTTTTTTTTAAAAAATGTGATACTTCTTTTTCACAAGGGTAGGATTTAACTAATATTTGAATCAATAACTACATGAGAGATTCTGGTAAGAAAACCATTGAGAATTGCTTAAAAATGCGAGAAAACCTTGGTAACACTTTACTTGAAGGGGTGTGCATAAGACTGACATGACACCTTCATAATCATGACATGACACATGTCATGAATATGAAGGAGGTTTTATGCATGTTTATGACAACTGTCATTAAGTGTCATTCGCTGTCCTTTCAAGTTATCAAACTTAAGAAACCACTTGGCTTTATAGGTTAACATTACATTAAACTGTCATGTGGTTGGTTTTGACATTGGCTGTCATGAAGCCATTATAACATTTTAATGACAAATTCAATTTGTACAACCACTGTAGTTGAGGTCAAGAAAAATATTCATGACAGTTATAATGGCCTCAATGTCAAAACCAACCACATGACAGTTTAATGTAATGTTAACCCATAAAGCCAAGTGGTTTCTTAAGTTTGATAATTAATCTGCTATGTCATGTTTATGACATATTTATGACAATTTATGTTGTCTTGGTAATGTCAAATTGTCATTTCCAAGACACTGACAGGTTATGATGTATTGGTTTATGTCAAGTTGTCATAAACAAAAGACATCTCAAACAATGTCATATTTGCATTAAAAATGTCATAACTGAGCAAATGACACTTAATGACAGTTGTCATAAACATGCATAAAACCTGCTTTATATTCTTGACATGTGTCATGTCATGATTATGAAAGTGTCATCATGTCAGTCTTATGCACACCCCTTCAAGTAAAGTGTTACCAAAACCTTTTTTGGCCAAATATTCTATCAAACACCACTTCTTTATTCATAACTAAATGTTCAGGCCCGTTTGTCGTGTTAAGTACATGTGACTTTTTAAATGTATGTATCTTTGTTTATTTTCAACAATCTGACACCACTGATTATAGCTTAATTATGCTTTTTTAACATTTACTTTAAAATGAATAAGAAAATACTTAAGAAAATATGCTACTGAAAATATCTGGAGACCCATACACCTGGTGTCAGATTGAATATTATTCTTCACTGTTTAAAATGTCTTATTGATGAATCTGAAATGTTGGGAGACAGGGTGCTGTGACTGCACCTAAACACAATTTGATTTATTCGAGCACTACTAACGACTTTTGTTCTTTTCAGGGATCCAGTTTCGTCTCCCGACTGCCTGTAGTGTGGATCGAACAGAAGCCCCCACTCCAGGTAAAGCCACACATCCCAGTTAAGTCATGCCACATAGTGTGTTCAACTTCAGAAGCGTCATGTCCATTCAAACCCTCTCAGATTTTCATGTCACACCAAACTCATATGACCTTTTCTCATGGAACACAAAACAAAATGTCAAAGCTAATATTTTCCATACAGTGAAAATGCATGCTGATGAAGTCTGGACTGTCAAAAACAAACAAAACAAAACAAAACAAAGCGAAGCAACAAAGTAAAGCAAAACAAAACAAAACAAAGCGAAGCAACAAAGTAAAGCAAAACAAAACAACAAAGCAAAGCAAAACAAAGCAAAGTAAAGCAACAGCAAAGCAAAACAAACCAACAAAGCAAAACAAAACAACAAAGCAAAGCAAAACAAAACAACAAAGCAAAGCAAAACAAACCAACAAAGCAAAGCAAAACAAACCAACAAAGCAAAGCAAAACAAAACAACAAAGCAAAGCAAAACAAAGCAAAGTAAACCAACAAAGCAAAGTAAAGCAACAGCAAAGCAAAACAAAACACCAAAGCAATGCAACAAAGCATAGCAAATCAAAGCAAAACAAAACAACAGAGCAACAAAGCAAAAAACACTAATGACACCTACAACTCTGCTTGCCTTACAAAACAACAAACAACAAAACAAAACAACAAAGCAAAACAGCAAGATAACGAAACAAAGCAAAACAACAAAGTAAAGCAAAACAAAACAGCAAAATAACAAAACAAATTGAAACAACAAAGTAGAGCAAAACAAAACAACACCAATGACACCTAAAACTCAGCTTGCCTTATCTTGAAGTTTTGTCACTGCAATGCTGATAAGGCTCTGTAAATACATTATCAGAGTATATGCTCTTGAATCACTGGGCTGCTGTTTTACTGTCTCTTATCATGCGCCGCATGCACTGAATAGCTGATTTTAGTGGAGACTGAACATCTGTTGTTGATTAAACAGTCACGCTGAAAGTTTTATAACCCATTCAAGCTGGTGTTAAAATGCAGAACACGCATTAACACATGCACTGATAAATGGTTCAAGATTTCAGTTCACAACCTTATGTGCTATGTACAAGTTTAGGCAAAACACCTAACACATTAACACTGCTATAGCTTCAAATATGTTAATTAGTAATTAGTGTGTAATTAGTTCAGTGATGCCATAGCTGGCTGAAATCTCAGCCCAACACAGCCTGAGGCATTCAGCAAAAGAAGGGTATCTTCTGTTTGTAATGGAGAATACACGTGCACCTGAGCTAATGCAAATGAATTATCGATTTACATGACTCGGCTAAAGCAAAGATGACTTTCCATTAGAATGTATATTTTATTGAGCATATGTTATGTTTGTAGGGATTAAGGTTTGATTCAGGATTTTCTCGTAGCACTGTCTTCACACATGTTTCTTCACAGACATCATGTTTGATAAAAAGGCATAAATCAATTAATAAATAGAACAAATTGTATATTTTAGATGTATTGTATTTAATAAATGTACTAAGAGTATTTTTTATTAAAAAAAAAAAACATTCTGTTCTCATGGTTCATGGTTTTTTTGATCATGCATATTATCTTTGTTTTTGTGTTTAGCACCTGTGTGGCATTTGATACTCCCAAGATAACTGTTGCCAAGACACCAGCTCAGTCACCAGCCTCTCATTCTGAGAGAAAACTGGGCCAATAACTGCTTTTACAAGCTAACAAGACATTGATTTCTCAGAGAGATTGGGAAAAGGCCTTTACAACCTTTATAAAACCAAAAAATCCAAAAATCTTACCTACTCTGCATTTGCCCGCAGTATTTGCTGGTTATAGATGCAAATTCATATGTTTACAGCCAGTCAGTAGTGGGGACTTTAATCACACCATTGTTCAGCAAAATTTCAGCAGAAATCCAGTCATTTCAATAGGAATCCACACGACCAGGAATGTTTTGCGTGAGGACAAAAAAATTCCCAGCACAGTTTTTGCAACGGATTCAAGTTGGTCATGTGAATTCGTCGCCTTGACCAACAGACATCTACATATACACTATATTGCCAAACGTATTGGGACACCCCTCCAAATCATTGAATTCAGGTGTTCCAATCACTTCCATGGCCACAGTTGTATAAAATCAAGCACCAGGCGCTTATACAAACATTTGTGAAAGAATATATATATGTGCAATAAGTCCATTCGTGAAATTTCCTCACTACTAAATATTCCACGGTCAACTGTTAGTGGTATTTTAACAAAGTGGAAACAATTGAACAACACCAACTCAGCCATGAAGTGGTAGGCCACGTAAAACCACAGAGCCGGTCAGCGCATGCTGAAGAGCACAGTGAGCAGAAGTCGCCAACTTTCTGCAGAGTCAATAGCTACAGACCTCCAAACTTCGTGTGGCCTTCAGATTAGCTCAAGAACAGTGCGTAGAGAGCTTCATGGAATCGGTTTCCATAGCCATGGATCCAAGCCTTACATCACCAAGTGCAATGCAAAGCGTCGGATGCAGTGGTGTAAAGCACGCCGCCACTGGACTCTAGAGCAGTCTGGAGAGACGAATCACGCTGTCTGTCTGATGACCCCTTCCTGTTCCAACATGACTGCACACCAGTGCTCAAAGCAAGGTCCATAAAGACATGGATGAGCGAGTTTGGTGTGGAGGAACTTGACTGGCCTGCATAGAGTCCTGACCTCAACCCGATAGAACACCTTTGGGATGAATCAAGGGCGTAACTTTGGGTCTACCATTGGGGGGGTTAAACTTGCGGCATATTTATTAATTTATTTATTTATTGAATAATTGTCTTGTGTAAAAGGTAACATACTACATGCCCAATCACCCGAACAAAATGTTAATAAACTAGGCTTTAAGTTTAACTGTTAAAATGTATTTTATTAACATCAAATAACAGCATTAAAAACTTTCAAATAGAGAAAATGAAACTGCAATTATATTATCACTTTGCACGAAATAAGACTCAAAAGTAGTTAAAAAAGGTGTTTGCATTTAGCCTCTGATAACATCAAATTCAGAAACTGAGAAAATACAAGTGTGGACTAACGTTAGTTGTGCTTTGATTCATTTTGTCACTTTGCAAACTCCATGCAAAAAGAACAAAAAATAAAATTAAAATAATAATAATCTCAAATTGAGCCGGAGGTGGTAAATTCCTAATAATGTACGTATTGTTTTAGGTATTTTTAAGATTTTAAGATTAAGATATCTTGCATAATGCATTATGTTGCGCATACAGCTCAACTAACGCGATCGTTATAAAGGTGTTTGAAAAACAAAACATCCACTTGCACATATTTGACAATCGGAATATCAGATATATCCTGCTATAGGATCTGTACCGTCTATGGGTGTGACAAGCAATGAAGGACGCGTCTCCATGGGATACTCCGTGATACTACGATCAATAACGATGCCTTGAAAATCTTTTAAACTTACGTGTGAAAACGTTAAGACAAGGCTTACATTTAAATGTGTCTTTGTTTTGTTTTGAGTGTATGGTCAATAAATAAAGGAATTAAAAAGATGGGCACAAAACCTGTTTGTCGCGCCCCACTTGTCATGTCTCTATTCCCCACCACTGGGACGCGCCCGCGCCCCACACTTTGAGAAACGCTGAGCTGACTTAACAGCTAACCTCCGTTTGGTCAGGATTTTTCCTCTTTTTGGCTGGTGTCGACCAACAATGAAAAATCGTTGTCTGGCTGTGTCCTTTTCATCTTTCCATCCGTTAGCATGCACCGTCAGCTTTCTCCGACCATTCATCCCAGCGACTGCGCAAAATAGTGAACAAACTTGGTAGAGAAAGCGGGTTGGGTAATACCAAGTAGTCGGTGCGGTGGGCGGGGGGTACATTACAGATTATTTAAAATATGATATTATCTTTCTTGCTGGCAAATTAATTTAATAAAGAAAACGAACAAAAGTATTCATTTGGAATATTTCATATTTATTTTAATCTGAATGATATTGGGGGGGTTATATTCGCTGGATCTGATTTTTGAGGGGGTTATGACCCCCGTAACCCCCGTGCAAATTACGCGCATGGGATGAATTAGAGCAGAGACTGCGAGCCAGGCCTTCTCGTCCAACATCAGTGCCTGACCTCACAAATACGCTTCTAGAAGAATGGTCAAAAATTCCCATAAACACACTCTTAAGCTTTGTGGAAAGCCTTCCCAGAAGAGTTGAAGCTGTTATAGCTGCAAAGGGTGGGCCAACTCCATATTGAACCCTACGGATTAAAAATGGGATGTCATTAAAGTTCATGTGCATGTAAAGGCAGACGTCCCAAAACTTTTGGCAATATAGTGTACGACGTTATTGTAGTGTACGGCTCGTGGTACCATCACAGAGAGCCACAAAATCACTCTCCGGAACATTCTCATTGACGGCACCATGCTGGTGGAATGATCTGCCCACCCTCATCCGGAATGCAGAATCCCTGACAGCATTCAAAAGACAACTGAAAACTCATCTCTTCCGTCAGCTCTTAACATAAATATATAAAAAAAATTCTTTCCTTTTCCTTTAAATCCTCGCTTGTCTGGCTTATGCTACTCCAAGGAGCTATGTCTGAACTTTGTATTTTGAGCACTTCTCGCGTTGTTTTTGCCTCTTCACGATGACTCGCTTGGTTTAGTCCTCAGTTGTAAGTCGCTTTGGATAAAAGCGTCTGCTAAATGACTAAATGTAAATGTTTGCTAAACTAATACTATTAATGCACAGTGTATTGCCCAACTCTAAACATCCCTTAAAGGTGAACTAAGTAACTTTTTTACCTTAACCGAACAGCTTTGGAGTCATTGTAATGTTTATATTACTGATTTCGTGTTGAATGGTGGTCGTCTCGCACCCCCCTGGTGCCTGTGAGCCGCAAAACCACCCTTGCAACTTTGGGCCGGCGAGCCGCCGGCCTCAGTGTTAGGAAGTATCGTGTGATATCAGGTCTCGCGAGGTAACGAATTGCTTTACGGCAAAAAAACAGATCTGA